ACCTTTCCAACGATATATTATAAGCCCAATTCCGATGAATATTGAGGAAGTTATGGCCAATATACCAAATTGGGCCCGGTTTGAGCTTTATGTACGGCCCAATGATCTAGGGGAGGGCCTAATATGATTTATCATTCCTAATGCAATTAGGAATGGTTTTAGCTTTCTAGATTCTTCTAGAAGGTTCTTTTCATTCCTAATTCAATTAACATTGATAAATTGACTTTTGTTGACTTTTCAGAGTTTTAATTAAAATCAAAGAGCATTTCCGAGGAAAATATACGATTTTATCCTCCTGAACGGCAAAACTTATCTGATTTTCAAAAACGCGTAAAAAACAGGCCTGGCACCTGACTCCAGGCATTGGCGCCTGGAACCAGGCCTGGCGCCTGGCGCCAGCCATTGGCGCCTAGTGCTAGCCAAACAGAGTTCTGGCGCCAATTAGCTGGTGCTGGCGCCAGCTCTATTTTGCGTGCGCTAACCTCGTTTTGCGTGCGACAGAACTCTGTTTTGATTTTTTATCTTTTTTGGCTGATTTCTCTATAAATAACGTATTAAAAACTCCGTTTTCATTCACGAATTCTCACCTACAATTAGTTTTCATTCGCAATCATTAATTCTCTCATTCTCTTCTCATTCATTTAATTCTTTCTTCTCTTTTCTAAACTTTTCTTTTCATATACAAAATTCCGCATTCACAAGATCTAGAAACACCTAGCCATATTCGAAGTTGCCCTCGCCCTAGACGTGAAAGGTTTAATTTCTGAGGGTTTGGTCCCAAATCTCTCTTTCAATTATTTAATTTGATTGTTTGTTTTATTATTTTCCTTGAAGTTACTAACGTGTGTATTTTGTTATTAGAAAGAGGTATGAGGCATCAAAGTAAGTTTTTTAATTGATTTATTGATATTATGATGTAGAAATCATGTTTACATTGTTATTATGATATTCCTAGTATCATGTCTAAGGTAATTTTAATATTAAATATGATTCCTGCGATGCTTCTTATTCTCTTCCTAATATTTATGGTTGTTAGTATCATGTTAGGGTTAAAGATTTGATTTTTATTGCTTAGTGACATGCTAGGGTTTGTTATAAATCTTGTTAGTATCATGCCTAGGATCTTGCTATTATTATGCTTTAATATTAACATGAATATGATTATGATTATAATTGTTATAATTTATGATGATTATGATATTATTATTATTATTATTATTATTATTATTATTATTATTATTATTATTATTATTTTGATGATTATAATTTTATGATTATTTTTATTGATTATATATTATATGTTGCTTGATGATATTATTTATTTGTTATTGCTTGATCACACCTTTTATGCATGTTTAAAGGGAATTGGTACTTGTAATCACGATTAATAAGATAATTAATAATCTTGTTAGGGTTAATTTGATTATAATTCAAGTGATCGCCAATAATAGTTTATTTGTGCATTAAATTCAACCAACATCGATAAACAGGTTTAGGGGTAATCCTATTGATTGCATGTTAATTAAAAAGTGCACATGAATACGATCAGAATAAAGTAGAGGCCTATTATTAGGGCAGGTTCAATCTCTTTTAGGTTGGATTTGTACCTTCATCCCCGAACTCTTATTTGGTTCTAGACCTTATGGAGTTGACGATCTCTTGGATCGTTAAGGGGTGTAACCTTCACCTCGTGACCGGTTTACAAGTTCCTAAAACTTGTTGGCGACTCTTTTGCTCTATCTTCTTCCCTTTTGGACGCCACCGTACTTTAGTGTATGATCACAGTGGGGTTCAAGCAAGGGGATTAACGCTTGAAATTGATCCCTACATGTGGCTATGTGGCTAATTCTTCAGATTCTTGTTTATACTCTAAGGAGTTTGAATCATCTTGTGTTATAATATGTTTATATGTTAATGATATGCTTATTGTTGGTACTAACCTTGATGTGGTGAATAATAATGCTAAGGCTATGCTTTCTACTAAGTTTGAAATGAAGGACATGGGAGAAGTCGATGTAATCCTTGGAATACGTCTAAGGAAAACAGGAAATGGTTTTTTCATGAGCCAATCTCACTATGTGGAAAAAATTCTCAAGAAATTTGATTCTTTTGATGTGGTGCCTTGCAATACCCCATATGATCCCAACATGAAGCTTGATAAAAACAAGGGTCCTAGTGTATCTCAAGAGCTCTATGCAAAGGTAATTGGTAGTGTAATGTTTCTAATGAATTGCACACAACCCGACATTGCTTATGCGGTAAGTAGACTTAGTAGATATACTCACAATCCAAGTCAAAGTCATTGGGTTGCACTTCGTCGGTTACTAAGGTACCTCAAGGGTACTATGAATGAATGTTTGCATTCTTATCGCTTTCCTAATGTTTTAGTAGGATATTGTGATGCAAATTGGGTAACCGATAATGATGAAATTTCCTCAACTAGTGGCTATGTTTTTATTTTGGGTGGAGGTGCTATTTCATGGAAGTCCTCAAAACAACCATGTTTAGCTCGCTCCACCATGGAATCTGAACTTATTGCTCTTGAGTTGGCAGGTCATGAAGCGGAATGGCTTAGGAACCTCCTAGCCGACATACCATTGTGGGGGAAGAGTTCATCACCGGTGTCTATACATTGTGACTCTCAAGCAGCAATTGGAGTGGCCAATAATAGCAACTACAATGGAAAAAAGAGACATATTCGTATGAGACACAAAGTTTTGAGGCAATTTCTCAAGAATGGAGTGATTGCATTAGACTATGTGAGGTCCGAAAAGAACTTGGAGGATCCTTTGACGAAAGGACTGGAAAGAAAATAAGTTGGTGAATCATCGAGGGGAATCGGACTTAAGCCACATGATACATTACATTTGTCCTAATTCCTATGGTGATAATGTTTGTAATGTTTGACTTTGTTTGTGAGGTTGAGTTGTTTAACTCTTAATGGGTTCTTGTGCTATTGAGACGCACACTAAAGAACTCACCTATGTGGTTGTGAAGATTAGCCATCTTCCATGAAAACTTTGGCCGGTTTCTAGAGCCTCCACTAGACCTAAGGTGAATGTGCTTGGCTATAAATAAGCACATCTCTTCGCGAAGTTCAAGTAAATTTTGGAGTGATGTATGTGATGTGAAGGTCTTGGATTAAATCTTAGAGTTTCAAGGCTAGTCTACTCTTTGATTAAGAGTCTAAGGGTTTCAAGGTTAGTCCACCCTTATACTTGTAATTCATTACCTCATCTCACTAAGCACTAGATTTCAAATTACTCATGTAATATTTAAGTGTTAAGTATTGATCTCCTCTTATGCCCAATATGTTGCTTATCTTCTTCTTTGGTTTTTCTTCCCTTCCTTTAGTGGGGGATTGTGGGAATAAAGAAAGGGAATTCAAGGCGTTACTTCCCATTCTTAATTTCTTGAATAATTTTCATAACACCTCTTTTATGTGGAAGTTTAAGGAGATTAATCACCTCCGTTATACTCTTGTGTAACTCTTATAACCCCTCCCTTTTATGAGAATGTTAAAGGAGATTAATTACCACCATCAATTTGATTATTCATCTCCCTTGACGTTTGATGGGATTCTTCTTCTATGTTTTTCTATAAATAGAAGAAGTCTTTATTATGTTATACACACTTAAAAAAATACATATCAAACACAAGCTAAACACATACTCTATATTGGGCATAAGTTACTTGGCTCCAACCTTCCACCCAACAGTGCCTTTAAGTGGAAGTGGTGTGTTAACCTTAGGGAACGTGCCGACGAATACAATTGAGCACCCCGGTTACGTCGGAATTTCGTTTTCAAGTCAGTGAATTTGCTTCACGACACACCGTACTCTTCCTACTTTTGTGAAATCAATTTTTCGGTCTTGCTTATTATTTTTATACTATTTGTAATAGACCACTCCTTTATTTACAACATATATGAATGTACCTTGTTTATGTACTATGTTAATTATCATGCATAAAATCCATCATGCACTTATCTTGGAGAATGACCAGATTGGTTATTGTTTAATTGTTACAACACCACCAATCAACCAAAATTACATGTACGTTGTGCTTATTTAATACAACGATTGTTACCCAAACTCTATGTTATGTACATGTACCAATGTACGTGAGTTTCGCACATTAGTGAAGATGTAGGATATTATTATATTAACCACTAAATAGTAGTGTAGACAAAGTAATGAATGTATCTTGTAAATTAGGTCATGCATAGTACAAGTTTTAAAATATGTAAAATGATATCAAAAGATTGATGACACTAAAAAATTCAAGTCCTTAGGATTCATATTATGGTTGATAGACGGTACGAGTGAAGATTTTGAATTGGAATCATAGTTTTCATGCTTGTGGTCCATAAAAGCAAAGGATAGCGCACATATTTTGCAATGTTTTTACTCAATGTTGACGGCTCATTGAGGTAAAGGTTTTTTTCCTTCCTTTTGTGAAAGTCATGTAGGTAAAGTTGCCGCGTCTTTTTCTCATTAGAGGCTCTTTAAGGTTATGCTGTCCAATTTTAATTGGTTGTTGTAGGTCGTGTCTTATCAATGCTTATAATTGTGAAAATTTTTGATTTTGATTTCATTGATTGCTAGTAATTAGTCTCTTTATCTAGTAGAGACGTAGAGTTCTTTTCATCAAGCTTTTGATAAGTACTTAAGTTTGTCACTATTAAAGTCATTTTATTGTTAAATTAGTTACTTGTATTTGAGATTGGTGGTGGACTTATTTTTCATCATAGATGTTTGAATGGTTTCTTTCACTATAAACCTATCAAATAAATCTTTTTCAATCACATAGTTCATTATTTCTACATCAGTTTACTTATTTAACAAAAAAATTCTACGTTAAAACTCGAGTTATTTTTTATTATTATTTTTTTTATTTGGTCAAATCAGATTTCAATGTTAGATCGACATAAACCGAATATAAATACCAGTTGACTTTAAAAGCAAGTGCATCAATTTCAAAAAATGCAAACGTCCAAATGATTCAATAAGAGTGAGTTTGCCACTATAATATACTATAACATACATATTTTGCACACACAATAAAAAGTAATGCAAAATTACAAGTTTCTCTACCTTACAAGCTAGTCCAAAGTTCTACCATATTGCTTGTCCCAAAAACAGACAGCATAATATTTCAAAAAAAGGACGCACATTTTCAGCATCACTGTTTCCTGAATTGTATCATATTTGATACCTATATATGTGTATTTTTCTACTATATTGCACTAATTTTACCTTAACTTACACTTAACACAACATTAATAACAGTTTTGCTCCTTGAGTTGCGAGTAAAATCTCTTAATAAACTCCTCGGCAGCTTCATCCACACGTTGATCACCGCAATCTCCTTCATTTTGCAAAGGAAATGGTGAGTCCGTTACCCTTAAAGGCCAGACACCGCTATCTTTCCTAGACAACATGGTGTCCAACACCTTGCTAATAGCTTCTAAACTATTATCAATGTCTTCAATTTTTGGAGAAGGCATGTAGTAGTAGTTTTGGTTATTTTTCTTCTTGTTGGTGAAGTAATGACGGTATAAAGGGGTGTTGCTACAACTAAACTCATGCTCTTGTTCAACGTCGAAACCAACAACACCACCACCTTGAGTGGTGGAGACTTTGTTGGTTGTAAAGGCCGTCTTTCCTCGTTTCATCATCAAGTTGAGGTCTAAGAGCAATTTCTTCTTGGAGATACCTTTTCTTAGCATGAAGATGGCTAGTTTAACCATGTTGTACAGCTTTTTTGTGATTATTGGTAGGTTTTGCTCCATCGTTTCCTAGATTATTTTTGTAATAGTGGTAAGCTAGCTTGTTTGTTAGAATGTTGTGTTTTTTGTATAAGAGAGGTTTTTGGTGTGGTGGAAAAAGAAATGGTAGAGGGAGTATTTATAGCTAGGAAATTAGACATGAAGCTAGCTTAAGACAAAGGTTTTATTGAGTGAAAAAAAAAGGAACTTTAAATTAATGGAGCTCCCAATACTAGTAGTAGCGTTGCATGAATAAATTAAAGGCTCTCAATATTATCATAAACCGGCCACTTTCAACTTTAAGGCTTTAAGGCAATCAAAGAGGTTTAGTTTCTGTCCATTTCAATTTTAAACTTTAGCTTTTTCAAATAATAAATTGTGTATGTTACTACATACTGCGTATATGATTAACGTGTGAATAACGGAAAAATTATTAGAGAGGTGATATGAATTTTGATGGATATAACCTTCAATCGCAGTTGAAAGGTTTGGAATCTTGAGTCTCGGTCAAGAAACGCTAAGCAACACGAGCTTAAAACCTAAACTAGGCCAAGAATACACATGCACAAGCTTACGTAAAACTTTATAAATTTCAAATCAATCAATCATACTTTTCGTTAAACACCATCACGTATTTATAAGCTAAATAATTAGCCTAAAAATCGGTAAAACAAATTCTAATCTAACTAGGAAACTAACTCTAACTTGTAAAGATAATATTTTGCAAATATGATCTTTAAAGTTAAGCTTATCTTATACTAACCGAATTAAACTAACAAAAATATCCTAATAAATTCGGTCATCTAATAATAAACTAAAAATAACAATAAAAATAATTATAATAACAATATTGATGCCTTGGAACCGCATCAAGAGGGTTTCTTAATAGATAACTATTCTTCTTTCAAAAAAAAAAATAGATAACTATTCTTGTCTTAAATGATGATAACAAAGAACATGGTACATTATTTTCATTTTGTAGGTGATTTGTACGGAGTACTATTGTGGTTTAATTATTTTTTGGTATGTATTTTCGAACCTCATGTTGGTATTTATCATTATAATGTATTATACGTGCATTAATTAGATTATATCCACGTACATAATACTATGTATTAGTGTTATTGTCATCTGAGTAAAATACATGAAAAAATATACAGAGTTTATGTTTGTAACTTTTACCCGTGTGGTGATGCCTTCTTCCACTACTAGAAAACAGCTAAATAACGACGGAAATTTTCCGTCGGAAACACCCTGTTTTTCGTCGGAAAACTCGTTTCCGTCGGAACTAGTTGTCGGAAAACTATTCGTAGGAAAATGGGCTTTTTCCGACGGAATTTCCGTCGGAAACACTATTCCGACGGAATTCAGTCCGCCGGAAAATATTTTCAGGCCCGAGAAAGTCCGTCGCAAGTTTCCGACGGACTGAGTTCTGTCGGTATGTTGCGACGGAAATTCCGTCGGAAAATTATTTTAAGAAAACAAAAAAAAAACGCCTCGCACCACCCCACCACCAGCCCACATCACCAGCAACCACCCTGCACCACCAGACGAACAGACCCCACTGCACACCCTTTTCCCACCTTCAAACATCACCACCAACACCCACAGCAACCGTTTTCCCACCTTCAAACACCACCACCGACACCACCGACACCCACACTAGCCACTAATCCACCTTCAAACACCGCCACCGACACCACCGACACCCACACCAGCCACCAATCCACCTTCAAACACCGCCACCGACACCCACCCTAGCCCCTTCCCACCTTCAAACACCACCACTCCAAAAATAAACCCCAAAAAACACAAAATTTAACAAAATAAATCGAAAATAACCAATAATCGAAAATCAACCCAAAAATACGAAAATTAACACAAAATACGAAAATTAAGAAAATAAAATTGAAAAAAACCACTAGATCTACATATTTAACAAGAATTTCATAAAGAAAAATGAAAAAAACGATAATTACACAACAAAAATTAAACGAATTATATAATTACACAATTATCTAATAAAATTTACAAAATAAAACAATTACATAAACAATTAACTAGATCTACAATCTAACCTAAATTTAAACTAGATCTACAATTGATGTTGGGCGTTGCCGGTGTTGTTGTGGTCGTCGTTGTTGTTTCCCGGTGGTTGTGGTCGTCGTTGTTGTGGTCGCCGTTGTTGCGGTGGTGGTGGTGTTGTTGGTGGTGGGGATGGCAGAGATGTTATTGGTGGTGATAGAAGAAAGAGGGGGTGAAAATGAAGAGGAGAAGAAGAAAAGAGAAGAAGAAAAGAGAGGAATGGAGGAGAGAATTCGCTGAACAAGGAACAGAAGAAAGAAAATAAGGAGGAGGAGGAGAGAGAAAGGAGAGAGAGAGAGGGAAAAAAGAAAAGGGGCGGAAGAGAAAGGGAATTAGGGTTAGGAAGTTTATAAAAAAAATATATTTTTTTTTTATAGTTAAATGTTCCGACGGATTTTTCCGTCGAAAAACTTCCGACGGAATAATTTTCCGTCGGAAAAGACCTTTTTCGACGGATTATTCCGTCGGAACGTCCAATTATTTTGACGGAATTATTTTCCGTCGGAAATTTCCGACGGAATGCTATAATTCGTCGGAAATATTCGACGGAAAATAAATCCGTCGGAAATTTCGATTTTTCCGACGGATTTTCGGGTCCGTCGGAACCGTTCCGTCGGTATTTGACCTGATTCTTGTAGTGTTCTAGCTCAAACCACTATTAGTGACTCTTCAAACCTCATACTATGTACTACGTATTGCCTCTGTTACATATAAGTGCAACTTTTAGGTATTATTTGTGAGACATAAAAAATTTCAAAGTTACACTTAAGTAGTATATAACATCCACATATTTAAGCAAAGTAAAAATTATTTATCCCACCAATGTGAGACAAAGACGAGCCTTTCCCTCAAATAGAAGAGTAGATAAGTAAAGTTAGCTCCCAATTCCATGCATTATATCCAACATATAATTGTATTCATATGGGTGAGGATAGACGGTGTATGCGTGTGATTGAATTGGCGATATTATATGCGTAAATAAAAGTTTTTTTCATGCTTGTGGTCCATGATAGAAATGGTAGCACATTTTTCAAATGTTGCTCGATTGAGGTAAAGTTAGTTTCCTTCCTTCGGTGAAAAGTCATTTTAAGTAAAGTTAGTTACCGCGTCTCTCTCTCTCTCTCTCTCTTTTGGCGTTCTTCATCAAAATTTCCTACCGTTTGATTTCAAATTGTTGTTTTAGGCCGTCTCATATCAATGTTTATACTAGTGATAGTCGTGATTTTAATTTCATTCATTACTGTATTCGTCTATGAGAATTTTTTTTATCAATCTTTCGAAAACTACACATTTAAGTCTGTCACTATTAAAGAGTTAGATTAATTTAATCAAATGGAACTGGTAGTCTGCGATTGACTTATTTCTCATGATTTTTTAAAAGACTCGTTTCTTTCTCTAAGTTGTACCTATCAAATAAATCTTTTATCAGTCACATATTTCACGATTCTTACATCTAGGCTGCTAAATTAAAAAAATTAAAAAAAAAAAAGTTGTTCAAAGCAACGATTTAGTTTGTGCTGATTTAACTAAATATTTTCTAGCTTCTAAGGAGAGTGAGGTTTGTTTTGCTATATGTAAACTTATAAATCAAAGATTAATACCACCTTAGAAGCAAGTGCAATTTTACAAAGTGCAAACTATTATACAATATACATATATTTTGCACACACAATAAAAAGTAATGCAAAATTACAAGGGTTTCAACCTTATAAGCTAGTCCAAAACTCTAACATGATATTTCAGAAAACGGACGCACATATTCAGCATCACTGTTACCTGAATTGTCTGTGTATCTTTCTACTATCTTACACTAAATTTCACCATATTTTACACTTAACACAAAGTTAAGCAACCAAAAGTTTGACCACAAAAATAACCGACTAGTAACACTACTAGCAGTTTTGTTCCTTGAGTTGCAAGTAAAACCTTTGAATAAACTCCTCAGCAGCTTCATCCACACGTTGATTACCACACTCTCCTTCACTTTGCAAAGGAAAGGGAGAGTCCGTCACCCTTAGAGGCCGGACACCACGATCTTTCCTAGGCACCATGGTCTCCAACACCTTGCTAATAGCTTCTAAGCTATCATCAATATCTTCGAATTTTGGTGAGGACATGTAGTAGTGGTTTTTCTTCTTGTTGTTGAAGTAATGACGGTATAAAGGGGTGTTACTACAACTAAACTCATACTCTTGTTGAACGTCGAAACCAACAACACCACCACCACCTAGAGTGGTGGAGACTTTGCTGGTTGTAAAGGCTGTCTTTCCTCGCTTCATCATCAAGTTGAGGTCCAAGAGTAATTTCTTCTTGGAGATACCTTTTCTTAGCATTAAGATGGCTAGTTTAACCATGTTGTACAACTTTTTTGTGATAATTGGTAGGTTTTGCTCCATCTTTTTCCTAGATTGTTGGAATAGTTGTAAACAAACTAGGTTTAATAATAAAATATCTAGATGTTTGTGAGAATGTTGTTTTTATGAGAGATGTTTTTGTTGTGTTGAAAAGAAATGACAATGTTATAGGTGTATTTATATGAAATGGAAATGAATATAGAAACGTTAAATTATTGGCGTTTTTTTATTTAATTAAATGTAATAGTGTTACAAATAAAGGTTGATTAAGATTTGGGAAAGGCTAATCTATACACCGGCCACTCTACTAGCACACCTTTAAGGCAAAATAGTTTCGTTTCTATCCTTTTTGCCTAGCTTTAGCTTTTTCAGTTTATACAATGGAGTAGTATTTAAAATTATCTAATTTATTGCATGATTGGTATGTCCATCATGCATGTATTATTGGAGTAGGCTGCATTCCTTGATTAGTTTGAGAATGGATGTCAGCTATATTAATTGATTAAACTGTTAAGAAATATGTTTGTATCTCTTCAAAAACATTGTCTTTTATGAGTTGCGACTCTTTGTAACTGTTGTACGTACACTTATAAATAAAGGTTTTATATAACTCGAGCTCAATATTTTTTTTTGGTGTGTGTTTAACTTAGAGAGCCACAAGGACGGCTGATATTAAGAATCAATCTCAGAATCTCCTAGAGTCGGGAAGGAAGCTCTAACTACTTGAGCTATCCTCACTCTCAGAGTCTCAGCTCAATATTTCTAGAGCAACACCAATATAAACTCTATGGCCCTTACTATGTTTAGCTTAGTCCGTCCTTGCTTTGCATTAAATTTAACATCATATACACTCCCACGAGAAGACACTCTAATAACAAGCAGTGCGCAAGTGTACATTGTGATACATTAAACAATATCGTTGAATTGTTGTGCTCATGGAGTTTGAGGCTCAGGGACTCAGGGTTTAATAAAGAGCCTAAGCCACTCGTGAGATACTAGAACTTGGCTCGAGTGTTCTTTGATGTATCTACTTCAAATTATTTTTATAATTATTTGTAATTTTCTTAAATAAGTGAATAGAACAACACCTAATAAGGTTCAATCGGTTTTAATTAGGTTCAATCAAACCCAATAAGTTCAAGACAATTCAAGTTAAGATTGAAATGCTCATCAAGTGCTCAACCTTGTATCATGTTATTATCAACATTGTTCATGCCTATCAATTCAATCTAATATACTACTCCCTTTGGCTCATTTGCCTTGTTTCATATGCTTTCATTGCACATTGTTTTTTTTTTCCCCCTTTTTTTCAGAGGAAATGCACATTATATTTGAATTGTGCAACAATAATATCTCTAATACATACGATTAAAATAATGAAAAATATAGTTTTTTTTATATATATTTTTTATGAAGAAATTTAGTGGTTAAAGTTTCACTCAATTTAAATAGAAATATTGCAAATGGAATAAATGTGAAGGAGCAAAGGAATAATTTTTATCCAAATCTTGCCTACAAACTTTAAATTATATCCTCGTTATCTACTTCATTGTTAGGCATTTCTTCCCATCATATTTAATAAAAGTAAGGCATTCTTTTCGTAAAGAAGTAGGCAAGTAAAAAGTAAAATAACTACTAGTTTAGGAACTCATACAAGCTAAGTTAAGGATAAATGATTCATCAGGCTAAACGAATACATGTGGATAAGGAATGAACCAACAAATCAAAGATTCCTCAATAATTCATCCATATCCATATATCATACTAATTTGCCAAAATCAGCTGTGCTATGAGTGTGCATATTGCTAGCTAACGCCTTAACGTTCACATATGTTATAGACAATATAAAGTTGGATAGGGTTATTAAGACCATGTTCTATTCACCTTATGTTCTCTTAATTTAAAAAAAGCAAATTCAATTCTGATAACAATTAATAAATTCAATTTAAGCTAAGTTCATATATGAATTAATAAAGGTGTTAGTGGACCATGTCAACCAAAAGTTTAAGCAGATGATTGAGGCCCAATAATATGTTTTATAATCTATCATGTCCCCTCACACGAAAGCTCGTTTAGGCTAGAAGTGTAGGTGCAGCATGGATCCTTCTCAAACCCAGCGCTCAATATTCCACTTGAAAATGAGGGGTGATGAGTTTTGAATCCGTAACCTTTATGTCACACGCTGGCTCTAATATCATGTCAGGAATTGATTTTCATTTGTCGTATTAGTGTATGAACAAGTTTATACATACAACCTTACAAGAGATTAGGGCCGATAATATTGGCCCATTAGCTATACAATATTAGGCTTAACAAAAGGTTATACAAAATCAACTACACAATACATGCATCTAAAACAAGTTTAAATAATTTATATAAGCTCGTATAAGGGAAAATTGTTTAAATAGAACGCACCCTAAATTGAGCACACTACAAAAATAAAAGCTTTTTAGCAACTAAGTTTGGCAACAGATTTTTAAAATGTTGCTAAATAGCAACGAATCTAAATTTTTTCATTGCCTAATTAAAAGCGACATTTTATGTTTTAGTTTTTAATAAACAATGGCTACATGTTTTTGATTTATTGTTTTTTAAAACAAATTTTCTTACTAGTTGTTACTAGACGGCATCATATTTTTCTCTTGTTGCCAAATAGTAACAAACTATGACAACAAATATTTTATTTGTATTGATTTAGAAACAAACAAATACAATGAATTTTTGAATTGTTTCCATTAGAAACAAGTCTTCTAAATTATTGTTGCTAATTGATAACGCATTATTTTGTTTGTTGTCATTGGAAACGAGTTGTGTTACATATTGTTGTTAATTTATATGTAAGCCACTTTCTGCTGTAATGTATAAAATTATTTGTTGTTAAAATGACATCAAATAGAGACGGGTTTCAATTTCGTCTCTAATTTAGAGACGGATTTTTTATTTTGTCCCTAATTTGGAGACAAATTTTTCAATTTCGTCTCTAATATTTTGTTCACTTATTATAAATTATATGCATAGAAGTAAACAAATAGTATTTGGTATAGTTGGTAAGAGATTCACCATCTGACTTTGAGGTCGCAAGTTCGACTCCTACCAAATGCGATTCTTGAGACTGGGGATTCAAAGAGCCTTACGTGCAAAGTCGAGCCGAGTTGACCTAACCTGAGTGGGATTTCAGATTGGTAAAGGCCGAGATCGGGTTGAACCAAATTGCTAATAGGGATTGGGTTTTTGTCTCATAGTGTTGATAGCAACCAATATTAATGATTTGTAGCTATTTTTATGAACCAACTTTAATAATTTGTTGCTATTTTTAAGAACCAACATTAATAATTTGTTGCTATTTTAGGAACTAACATTAATAATTTGTTGCTAATTTTAGCAACAAACAATGGTAATTTGTTGCCAAAGTTGGCAACGAATGCACCAAAAACAGCAACAATCATGGAAACTATATTTAAATGATGCAATATTGCAACAAAATTGCTTTGCAACTGGTTTCCAAAATCCCATGGCAACAAGCCTTTTAGCAACAACAAATTTTTGTTTCCAACCCGTTGCTAAATAGAGTTGGCAATGGATTTTTGGTAAATAGCAACAAATTTTAGTTGATGCTATATTGATTTTTTTTTATTTTATTTTTTGTAGTGGCACCACATAATAAAAAAAATGGATATTTTGTGAAAAACTACCTTTTATACTTTGAATTTTGCGAAAAACTACCCTAAAAACAAAATGTTGTAATTAACTACCTTATAAAGTATAAAATGTTGTAATTAACTATCTTATAAAGTATAAAATGTTGTAATTGATTACCTCCCACCGCAATAACACATTTGATTTTTATTTTCCAGTGTTGACCATGTCATGTGAGGGTCACATGACTCTTTAATGACTTAATACCCCCCTTTCTCCCAAATTTTCCCGCTTTATACCAACTCTTTTCCTTAACAATACAATTATTTATATTTTATATTGTTTATTTGCAACCCCTTTGATAATTGTATGGGCTGAATTGGTGTAAAGTAGGAAAATTTGGGGAAAAGAGGGGAATTAAGTTATTAAAGGGTCACGTGACCCTCACGTGACATGTTCAATGTCGGGAAATAAAAGTCAAATGTGTTCATTCCGGTATAAGGTAGTCAATTATTATGTTTTATATTTTATAAGGTAGTTAATTACAACATTTTATTTTTAGGGTAGTTTTTCGCAAAATATGGAGTTTAAAAGGTAGTTTTTCACAAAAAAATCCTTAAAAAATATGATCAATATAGATAACAAAACTTGCCTTCTTTAAGCTTTAATTATTTCGACTTCCACCAAAAAAAAAAAGTCATTATTAATTAATAATATAGATATAGATTGAGTAATTAAAGCAATGAGAGGAGGAGTTGTTGGATTTTAAAAATTGTTAAGAGTAGATGAGGGAAGAAATCCAAGCCTTTACTTTACTTGCTCTTGGGTTTTGAGGTTGCTTGATGGTAAGGTGGCAAAAAGTGACAAATTAATTTAATAAAGCTAGTAAGGAGCACAATTATTTGGAAGCTTTAATGGTGGGCTATATATTTTAGCCATTATTTTTGGCCGTTTTCTTCTTTTGCTAATATTGTGCCACTAAACATGAATTGATATAAGTGGAGGCGTCTTTTAATTTTTTTAAATTTTTGATTGATGATATACTTCTAGAATAGAGCTCAAAGTAGTGTAGTGTTAAATTTTGAGTTAGAAGGTCCCATGTTTTGTCTATAATAATTTGTAGATTTAGCGAATGAATCTATCCCATAAATGGGAGTTACTCACCCATAAAACAACCATTGATATATACTAGCTATGTGTAGGATAAGGAATCTATTAATTTTTAAAATCAGGCCGACGAAAATTTATCGGCTATTATAATTGGTTTTAAAATAAAACTCGGTTAAACTTGTATGTTGTCAAACATATAATTATGTGTTTGCCCAATAAAAATTATTGGCATAAATTAAGTATAACCACTAAACAAATCCTTCAAAAATTCAATCTACTAAGGATTTGAGATCGACCAATCAAATGTAGGACTTATTAGGAGTTGTATATAATAATCATGAATTATCAAGTACATTTAGTACTAACCCTAGAAGAGAATATAGTAGAATCTTATTAAAATCCTATTAAGATTCTCACATATTTCCCCTAACTTTTTAAAAGTTGAGTGAGGGTATGTTAGTGCCTTATTAACTTAGCTATCATGCTTAATATTCATCCACTTAAAAAAATAACAAAATATATATATATATATATATATATATATATATATATATATAATGAAGAAAAAAAAAACTACCATGCTTTATATATATATATATATATATATATATATATATATATATATAATGAAGAAAAAACTACCATGCTTTTTATACCATATGAAAATGAATATTCATGGAAGTACCACCATCTTTAACTCTCTTTTATTTTCACACACTAATCCTATAGCGGCACAAGCAGCATGTTTTATTGAAGGTGGTCCAAAAACAAAAGTTTTACGAGTATGATATTTATCCTCTTTTTATATTGATAGTATGAGATTTAATTAGCTTATTACACGTTAAAAAAATTGAGAAAATATGGAATTAAAATTTGATTGGAGAACTTTGTGTAACGGCTTTGTACTTCATCACTTTCTTTCTGATGAAGGATTTCTAGTGCACATAATAATCTACTATAATGGGCCCCTTTCAAATAGGTCCCACTAATATTGGAGGGGTTATATTTATGCATAATAATATAGTGCATTAAAAAAAGCTTCAAACTTGGAAGCTAGAAAATGCATCTTTATATTCACCTAAAAATCAACTCTACTCTAATACATCAAACATAATACAAAGATGGCAACATATAACAGTTAACCTAAATAGTTTAATTACTCGTATGATAATATTTAAGGGTCTGTTCACATTTACTGAATTGAGCTGAAGTGAACTGAATTCGTTGGAGCTGCACTACATAAACATTCAATAACAATTTCCTCCTATAAAAATCTTTAGCTTGTCCTTAATCTATTCGATGGGCATTATTATCTAATAATTAGGGTTTTCAAAAATGGAACATAACATAAAACTCTTTTCATCATTGAAAACAACAAGATTTCCGGTCCCTTGCATTGCATTACCATAAGGACAAGAAAAATTCATTAAAAAAAATAAAGATTGCTCTTGTGACTTGGAATGATTCTTTCTCGGTGGAGGAAAGGAATAGCGATAGATTTTGATAGAGCATCCATGAGCTAGAAGATTCAATCAGACGACGTACTAGTTGATTATCCTATAATCTGACTCAACAATACTTGTTTAGATGCCGAAGAATAACAAGAATACAGCGGTCACCTTGTATAAGAATTTAAACGAAATCTATCTAGTGAATAAAAATAAATCACTTCTAAATGCAACTAAATTTCTTTTCTAATTTGATTGTTGCAAACAAATTATTACGTCTAAATAAATCTCATAAATCCTCAATTTATCATTGACAAACACAAGTGTAACGTTTATGACCCATCTTTTATAAAACATGATCAATTATATATATTAGAGTTATTATACTTATTATTTTATTATGTTAGTTAGTTAGTTACTCTAACTAACTAATATATATATATATATACTGTAGCTTGTAATCTTTAGTGCTGTAGATTCATTTTCTCCATTTTCCTCTGATAATGGAATCTATCTAATTCCTCATTCTCTGTCTACTACTACATTTCTATAATATATACTACCTCCGTTACAGGTTATGTGCAACGATTAGACATTGTGCCTCTCTACTTTATATCAAATCGTTGCACATAACCTGTAACGGAGGTAGTATGTTACTATGTTAGCGAACATATTGAATTGAATAATGTATCACATTTGATAAAACTAACTTTCATTATTTATTGACACATAACAAATAAATCACATTCTAACAAAACAAATTTATTAAGTCAATAACTTTTGAAAATTAATGTACTTCAACTAAAGGAATGTTTGCCATATTCTTCTTACAAAAGTATTGGCTTGATAGAAGAAAAAAATTCAAATGATATATATATATATATATATATATATATATATATATATATATATATATATATATATATATATATATATATATATATATATATAGGGGTGAATAGGTTGAATACTCACTAGTATTTTAATAATTCTCACTATAGCTCAAAAAGGAATGATACAAAAGAATAATGGATTCGTAATTTAGAAGGTGGATAGTATACAATGAAGGTAGAAAGGTAGGAAAACTTGTGTATTGATATGACTTCTTATGTGTGTATCCTTTGATTGTACGCCAAATACTCAATATTTATAGTTGAAAATGGAGGTTGAAAGAAATGACAAGTATATTCTAGATTTCTCTTCATCATACATTTTTGTAGCTAAAATGTTTAGTAATTTAATATCATACGCGGTAAACTATATATTCTAATTGCTTTCAATGTCAAGAATTCTCTAGATTGTTTAAGAAGCTTGTGTCGATAAGCTAGTTGAAAAATAATCTAGAGAAATAAAAAGCAATGTTAACCATGTTACATGTATCCAAAGTTTGTAGAGCATGCATAAATAATAATCCACCAAAATATTGGACCTATAAAATTTGGGTCACACCCAACACATCTTATTCATCCCAATATAATTGGTAGTTTATTTTTAGAATGTATGCTACTCGCTCCGTCTCTTTCTATCTTCATTTTTGAAATCTTTTTGTGAGCTAAATGATCAAAGTATAAAGATTAAAAGAGACCAAATAAGTAGTATTTTAATCAGCAAATTAATATTTAAAATTTATATTTCCTATTTGAGGATGACTCATTGTGTGTACATAGGTAAATAATTACAATATATAGGAATGTGTAGGCATAAAATTTTGTACAAGATGTAGATATAAAATTTTATACAAAGTGACATACTAGGTAGAGCTGTCAAAAGCTCACCTGACTTGAAATACCGACCCGAACCCGATTATTAACCAACCTGCTTGAACCTGAAAAATGGTGACCCGAACCTGATATGACCCGACTCGAAACCAACCCTAAATCCGAGTTAACCTAAGTATTTGAGACCCAAACCCGAACATGAACCGACATAAAGATGACCCTACCTAAATATAACCCGTAAATTATTGACCTGAACCGAATCCGACCAGAACCGAAATTGACCCTAACCCGTCAAAACCCGAATTAAGCCAACCTGCCAGTAACCCGACCCGAATTTAACCGAACATGTTATTAAATCGACTCGAACTAAACCCAACCCGAATTTTACCCGACGTATTACTAACCCGACCCAAAATTCACCCCAATCTGTTGCTAACCGACCCAAAATCAACACGGCGTGTTATTGACCCAACCCAAATTCAACCCGAATTGTTCCTGACTCATTTCGAACTCAACCTAACCTGTAATTTACTTAACCTGATTTCAAATTACCTTAAATTCAATTTAGACCACCTTATTATTATTGATTAAAGTATAGTTATACAGTTACATTGTCACTTATTATGTATATATTATCTAAACTTATTTGAACTAATTAGCTCGAATTCAAACTTATCTAAAATTATTTCTATTACAATAAAAGAAAAAATTGATAATGATAAAACGTGAACGTCATTACTGAAATGTTAACAAACCGACCCAAAAAATGTACCCGAACCCGATACGACCTGACCTAAAATCAACATGAAATTCAGATTAACCCAATATTTGAGACCCAAATATGACCTAGCTTGGAATTGACCCGACCTGATTGTCATGAGTTGGAAATGACCCGACCTGATTATAACCCGCAAAATGTAGACTTGAACCGAACCCGACTCGGACCCGAGAATAACCCTACCTTGTTTTAACCTGTGGAAACCCGAATTACACTCGACCTATTATTCACTCGACCCGAATGTAACCCAACCTTTTATGACTCAACCTAAACCTGACCCTACCCAATAAGATGTATGACCAGATGTGACCCGACTCAAGTATGACCTAACCCGAACCCAACCTGCATAAGTTACGACATTAACCCGAATTAACCTGACCCGAGTTAACCCGACCCACACTTACCTAACCCGTTTACCCAAATTGACATCTATTACTAGGTCACAATGTTGGAATTTTCAAAGTCATCGGAGATTCGGAGTACATACATATACATGTATGAGTGTATGACTACGTACTACATGGGTGGGTGGAATTTTGGGGGAAAAAATGCTTAAATTGATTAAGAGCTTTTACGTTTGTTCTATTTTTTACTTCTTGTATTCTTTGGGTCAAGCTTGAAATCTAACAATTATGTATAATAATCATATTATACATAATAATTGTTAGATTTATTTCAGTTAGTGAGTATAATTTTATAAACAAAATTAGTATTTTATTTGGAAAAAAATAATGATCAATGATTTGTATTAGAAACCACACCATACATGATACTCAAAAATATAATTAATGATCAATGATACTCAAGTTTTAATTGCAATTCTACACTAACTTTTATTTGAGGTACTTGCAATTCTCCACCCAATTTTGTTTTCCGTACCTTTGATTTATCTTTGATCCAACATTATTTAATTAAGAGTAAAGAGCATGTAATTAAGGAGTAAGTTGTTTTTATCTAATACTCGAGATAATTTAGCTATAGATTTTCTTATATATCTTCTTCTTTGATTTTATTCAACACTCGAGATAATTAATTTACATTATACATATATAGTGTAGTACAAAAGCACAATTATAAAGAGAAGCGCAAGAAAAATTCATACAAGGATCACTATATATTATAGCTACCATACATCCTACGTACAAACATGCATAATCAAAATTGTCACAAAATTTTAAGCATCCATTATCCTTTGTTGCTTAAGGTTGTTATAAAACCTTTGAATAAACTCATCAGCAGCCTCGTCCACCTTATAATTTCCTGGCTCTACATCATGCAACAAATATGGAGAGTCGGTTACCCTCACAATTGGGCTTCCGCTTGTCCCAAACCCGGCTAAAACCGGTGAGTAGAAATATGGGAATGGAGAACCCTCAACATCATCGATTTGACAATTTGAATTAGTCATCATTTCAATCACTTTGTTCACGGCTTGTATTTCACATCCCTCAACCTCCTCATAAATAGAAAATTTAGTGTAGTCTTTATTTTTGTGCGCCTTTTTATTGTGGTTAAATTGAAACGGATGGTTTGGGGTGTTACTACAACTAAACTCATATGCACCACTATGGCGCTGGTGGTTGTGGTTGTGGTTGTGGTGGGTTAGTTTTTTTACGAGTGATTTTCCGGTGAGTTTTGGGCGTTTCATGACTAAATATTTTAGGTCTAAGAGAAGTTTTCTTTTGCTCATGTTTTTCCTAACTATGAAAAAGGCCACTCTCACTATGTGCCATAGTTTTTTTCCAACAACTTGCACATTTTGCTCCATTTTTTCTTCAATTTTTTTTTTATTTAATATTTTTTTTTAGAGAGAGGAAGATCTAGAGAGAGAAGGAGAATTTGGTTTTGGTGGTGAGAGGAATTAAAGGAGAGAGTCATATATATAGGGGGAATTAATCAATAATTTACATGCATGCATACTTTTTCTTATTTAATTTTTTGGTGGTTCATTGGTTAAGGAAAATAGCTATTCCTATGATTAGACTTACAATATAATGGTAAATCACTAATTAAAGTAAATAATAATATAGTTGAAGGTGGTTGGTGGGGGCACGTATGTAACCTTGTGGGTTTTGAGTGTTTCAGTTTCTAAAATAATATTAATTGAAATCAATAATTGGTGGGAGAAAGGGAAGATCCTTGTGTACAAGTTTTTGTAGAGGTGACTACGTGTCCTAGATTATTGTTGACCATTACTACACTAATAATTAAAAATCTAATTACGTGTAAAAATAATGTGATTTACATTGATTGATTGTGTATAGGTCACTAGATTATTGAAGTATATAATTAAGATCTTAATCGTATGATGTTATTTAGGAAGCGTCTTGTTCCAAGAAATTTTGAGACAATATTAAATGTAGATCTTGTCCCCTAATTTTTTATTTTCCCCACAAAATAAAATTTGCAAAATAAAAAATCAAATATATTGAATTGGGAGGAATATAATATCAATTGGAAAATAAACTTGCTTCTAATAGTCAAACTAAAAAATGTTAAATTAAATGTCTTTAAGAACAATACGAGTATTAGTTATTGGACCAAGTGGAACTCAAGGACTATATGTGTAATGAGTTTGTTGGTTTTTTTTTTTTTTTTTTTGAAGTCAAATGAGTTTGTTGGTTTAGTAATTAATATATGCGAGTTTTTTTTTTTAAAAAAAAAAAATTTTAGACTGTATTCACTTTTTTTCTCATGGAAATGAGTTTAAATAAAACAATGTTAAATTAAAAAGGGAAAATAAGAATTATAAATAATTGAAATTTAGAGAGTGAGGGATAGTTCAAGTGGTTAGAGCTTTCCTCCCGATTTCAAGGATCCTGGGATTGATTTTCACCCCGTCCTTGTGACTCTCTAAACACCAATAAAATAAAATAAATTTTTTAAAAAAATTTAAGTAAATAAAAGGCCACCCTTAATTGTGTTTTTCTATTGTAATATAATACATTGATGTTGCAATATGCTTACATTAATTATGTTGATTAAAAAATGATTTTACAAATATAATAGAGTTAAGCATAAGGTTGGTGATTATGTTTTATATTTTTTCACCGTTTGGTGATTATGTTATTTTTTTCACCGTTTGGAGATTAGAGGGGTTATTCTGGCAAAAATAAATAAAAAGGAAGCAAAAACTTAATGACTTGTCAGATATGGGTTAAAAACTTAGTCACTTGTGGTTAATCAATAGGAAAAAAGCAGGTATTTAATTTTTTTTTTATTCACACGAGGCACGTCAAATTTGTGAAAATGACGCCTCTTATGAACTTTTCCCAAAATTTCCCCTTTGGTACACTTCTTCCCCACATTTCCTTTTTTTTTTCTTTACTAGTCCTGTAAACTTCACTCTTAATGAATAATGGTGATTTGCTCTTTTGGAAAGCTTGATTAAAGGAGTTCGGCACTTTGAAAGGTAAATTTGTACTTGATCTCTTTGGTTAAGTTATTCATAATTGCCTCAATCGTTGTGTAGTCTTTAAAATCGAAAAAAGTAGGGTTTAAATTTTGTCAAAATTTGTGGAATTCTTCCTGAATTTAGGGTCGAATTTGGTGTTTGATGATAAAATTTCGTATTTTTACTTTTAGATTATTGTTGTAAGACTCTTGATTTGCTAATGCATGGTTAAATTGGGTGGGTATCTTGACTTTAGTGTAATTGGAAGGAGTATTGTAAAACATAGTAATTGTACTTAATTGAAAGAATTTAGTATTTAATGTCAAGTAAAGTGTATTTATGTGTTAATTTGTTTGTGAATTATATGGAACTTGTTTTATTTTCAATATGTGTTGATGTTGAACAATAGCTATTGAGTTTTTAATTGAATGCCAATTATATGTTTTAGATGGAGATGACCCCAATGGCACTTGTTGTTCGATTTGGTGGGGTGTGGAAACATACTGCTGATTTATACTTTTGTAATTTATCCCAACAGCTAGTATTATATATTCAGCTTTGAAACTCATTTCAGGATTTAATATTGATAAGTGATTATGTTTTTGGGAAAGTGATTAAGTTTATGTTGGGTGACTAAGTTTTTTTTTTTTTTTTTTTTTGCTGAGTTCAAAACAGGTTAAAAGGTGTTCCGGTGAGTTAAGTGCTCGGTTTTTCTAACTCAATCACCAAAGGGTGAAATAAAAAAACTTGATCACCAAAGGGTGAAAAAAACAAAACTTGATCACCATTTGTATACTTAACTCAATATAATAACGGAATGTAGGTGTGAATTATAATTTATGATGAAAATGTTTCTTTTGTAAATACAAGTTTCCTATGGAGTGTGAACACAATCATGGATCTTCCTCATTTAGAAATTGGATTGGGGTTAGGGAATTAAGATCTTCATTGTCTGTTGTATTAGTTTTATCATGCATTGTAAAGATAAATTTCATACCACCATTGTTCTTTAATCAGTTCTTTAATGGGATTAATGACATATGACAAATCAAGTAAATTTATCTTCAACGTATCCTATATATATGCAAATACGAAATAAGTGCTTATCATAAATAATTAAACCAACATGAATCAAATCAATCATATTTTTTTTATTTGCATTTGCACATCCACTAAATATTTTAATCTCATAATAGTAGTAATAATTAATTGTATATCATACAAATTCTCACAATTTTTTCTAATTTAGGGCATGTTCACATTTACTTAATTTCAGTTCAGTTTAGTTCAGCTCCAATCATTTCAGTTCAGTTCAGTTCAACTTCAATCAGTTTAGTTCAAGTCAGCTCCTAATTTCCCTCATAAAATATTCAGTTCAGCTCAGTTCAGTTCAGTTCAGCTCCAATCAGTTCAGTTCAGTTCAGCTCCAATCAGTTCAGTTCAGTTCAATAAATGTGAACAGATCCTTAGGGTCTGTTCATATTTACTGAAATGAGCTGAACTGAACTGATTGGAGCTGAACTGAACTGAACTAAACTGAACTGAACTGATTGGAGCTGAAATGAACTGAACTGAACTGAAAAATTAAAATGCATAAAATATATGAAAATTTTTATGAAAATTAATGATAATATATATATTGGATTGTGAAAAATATAAAAGTGTTTTAAAAATAACTCTGTATTTTAAATTATTAAATTTTTGTGTATTATATATTTAAAATATATATATAAAAATAAAAAGTACTTCAATATTTTACTGTAATCAATCGTTGCTTGTTGTACTCTACACACTTTTGTTCGTTTACATGAACTAGGGATTCCATTCACGCACCAAGTTGAAGTCATGGGACCAACAGAAGATCATACTATGTACGATGATAACAGAAAAGCAGCTATGGATATTGTACGAAACCAAATAATTGATCAGATATGGGAGTCAATTCAGAGGAATGCCGAGGTAATGGAGCAACTTAATGAAGAAGAAGAAGACGAAGAACTAACCAATTATGAAAGCTAGTAACTGTTGTGTAGTACTCTCATTTTGTCAATGAGTTCAACTATAAAAAAACATGTGACCATTTTGAACGACGAATATAACTTAAAATAATAATAATAATAATAATAATAATAATTATTATTATTATTATTATTATTATATTTATTATTATTATTATTATTCTATTATTATTATTATTATTGTTATTATTATTGTCGTTGTTGTAATATGCTAAAACATCTAAAACAAAAAAAATTAACAACTGAGCTGAACTGAACTGAACTGAACTGATTGGAGCTGAACTGAACGGAAAATAAGTAAATATGAATAGGCCCTTAATGTTGTTTTCTTAAGAATTTTGATAGATTAGATGAAAAAAGAAATCCAAATCAAATCATGCAAATTTAACATTTATAATAACTAAGCGTAGAAGTTGAAGCCCTTGAAGAGTTGAAGGTCAAGGGATCAAGACTTGGTAACAAAAAAGCGTACGTTGCCTAAATCTTTTGATGTAACATCTCAACACACACTCTCACGTGTGGGGGCATAGGGTCCGAAACAATAGTAAAACCCCAATCGTCATAAGAATCTCCAAACTCCATCTTAAAATGAATTTTCTAGTTTCTAAACAATGAATTTTCTTGACATCTTAGATACTCTCCCCGATTTATTTTATTTTATTTTTATTAATATATACATGTTATAGCTCAAGAAGACATACAAGTCTGGCATGGACGTGGTTAATGTGTGGGTCGAGTCAAGGTCATTACAGGGTAATTGGTAGCCTTGTAGGGTTAATAGCGGTTCGGACTAATACGGGTCGTAGGTCAATTATGGACAGACCAACAAACAATTAATTAAAATAAATATTGGACAAAGTTATGAATAAGTATATATGAATACGAATATATATACTTTCATGTAATTGTTTTTACATTATCTACCTTCTTTATCTATTAAATTGGACAAATATTTTAGCCCTATATTGACCCTATCCTATAAGTACTATCCATTCAAGACTTTGTCCATTAAATGCCTTTAAGCTTGGCCCTAACCCTATTATCATTTGGCTACCCTACCTAATAACCAAGTCTAGTCTAACTAGCATCAAATAGGTTAATTAGCAACAAGTGTGGTGCAAGGTTAGCTATATGAGTATATATAAGAGTAATTCTTATTCCTTATTTAGTCATATGAGTAATCATATTTATTAATAAGTGTAAATTTATTTTGTCTATATGAGTAATTCCAATTCATTATATAAGTAATATCAATTAATTAAAAAAAAAATTTGTTTCATTTGCTCATTTGAGAACCCTTTTTCTTTTGTTTTGACTACTAAAATGATACATTCTCTCACTAATGTTATCAACAAC